TTTGTTCTCCAAGGATGTGTGCACGCTCGTTAAGACACTTCCTGAACGCGAAGGAAATGTAAATAGTCGTTAAAATATTAGATTCAGATTGGAATCTCGTATACTTTTTTTTAAGTGTACCAGGTCGTTCTTTTAGCTCGTGTCGAATTTTATAATTTAGGCGAATATTTCTTTGATAAGAAAGAAATCTAAGTGCTTTCTCATTATACGAGTCTTTTCCTTTATGTCGTTGCTGTAGAATTTTCCTGGATTTTCGTTAAAATATTTTTTAGTTTCAACAAGAGCTCACCAACTTGAAAATTGAAATTAAAATTAAAAGTTACAGATTAGAGAGATCCTGAGGATATTGTTCAGTTTCGAATCTCGTTGTATACTTTTAGTGAATTAACAGGTCATTCTATAAGTTCGTGTCGAATTTTACAATTTGGACCAAAATTTTTTGAAAATTTTTCTCTATAATTGCTTATGCAATTAACTAACGTTAATCCAGAACACATCATGGTGAGTGGTGACAGACAGATAAGTTGGTAAATTGGCTTTGAGCTAATAGGCACAACTACTGACGCTAAAATAATATAAAGAAAAACAGTTTAGACCAATATTTCCAGCAAATCTTTAAATTTGATAAGAAGGACTTCTTTTTTTATTTTCTTTTATGTCGTCGGTACAGAATTTTCTTGGATTTTTGTTAAAATATTTTTTAGCTTCAGCACGAACTTGTAGGATGACCTAATGATACTTCTGAAACCCTTTGTTTTCCAAGGCTACATACTCTCTCGTTAATAAGTATTAAGACACTTCCTGAAGCGAAGGAAACATAAATAGTCATTAAAAAATTAGAAATCCTATAAAAATTGTTCTGTTCTGGGATCACGTAGTATACAGGGTGAGTCACCTAATTGTTTTAAAAGTACAACAGGCCACTTAATTATTCTCTCTAGATATGGTGTCGTAATTTGAACGGTGGCAAAGGGTGAATAAGAAGGAATGGCGAAAGGACGAAAGGAAGTTTCGCATTCGATTAAAAATTTTAGAATCCAAAGTTGTTTTAAGATTATACTTAATTTCTGTTACTATATGCAGTAGAAGAAAATATATACGTTCGTGTAAAAACGGTAGGTGATCTTGAAAAAAGTAGGAAAAAAGTTTTGTCCATTCCATTCGCCCTTTGAAACCATTAAAATTGCCGTTGCTAGTGAAAATAATTAGGCAAAATATCCTATCTACAGTGGAATTCGGTTAATTGGGACACATAGGGACCGGAATAATTTGGCAAAATCTGAAGAACGTAAAAAACGAAGCTGAAAAGGATTTATTGAAAATGTGTGTGTTCAATAAGTAACTAAACACGTATTTATATTCCGGTCTTCGGTATCTGTCCGAAATAAACGGCGGTCCAAGTTAACCGGAATCCATTGTATTACTATTTACCAATTTGTCAGGTTGATTAGATACATTTGGAGCGCCACAGGTTTTCCACTTTCAATCCAAAGTTAGAGTATCTTATATACTTTGCAGAGCTCCAGAAGCAGCCTAATTAATTTATCCTAACAATTTGACAAATGCTTTTACTAATTTTTGCCCCGTTTTTCCCAGAAATTCAGAAACTTTAGTTAAGAAAATTAAACTAAAGAAGACAAAATTTCTAATTATTTTACACATACTTTTACTAATTTTTGCCCCGTTTTTCCCAGAAATTCAGAAACGTTAGTTAAGAAAATTAAACTAAAGAAGACAAAATTTCTAATTATTTTACTAATTTTTGCCCCGTTTTTCCCAGAAATTCAGAAACGTTAGTTAAGAAAATTAAACTAAAGAAGACAAAATTTCTAATTATTTTACACATACTTTTACTAATTTTAGCCCCGTTTTTCCCAGAAATTCAGAAACGTTAGTTAAGAAAATTAAACTAAAGAAGACAAAATTTCTAATTATTTTACTAATTTTTGCCCCGTTTTTCCCAGAAATTCAGAAACGTTAGTTAAGAAAATGAAACTAAAGAAGACAAAATTTCTAATTATTTTACTAATTTTTGCCCCGTTTTTCCCAGAAATACAGAAACGTTATTTAAAAAAATTAAACTACAGAAAACAGTACACTGTGATGCAAAATTTCGCAAAAGAGTGCAGTTCAAGTCAATCGATTTCTACGCGAACATAATCGGTGACAAAACACTTATTAACGACAGAGTACCCAATTATCCTTCCTTGTCCCCTATCTCTCTCCTTACTTCATTCGCAATCTCTTTCTCTTTATCAGCTCTTACTTTCCCCGACTTTTCCGTCTGTCCGCTCGTTTGACAAGTTCAGAAACAGAAACGCGTCGAAACTCCGGTTCCCGATGAATGGATCCGACGCGGCGATTCACGCATTGGCGGAAGCGCGCGGCGATTTCCGCCAGGCAAACGCCGCTGTGTCCCTGTTTCATCGAGTCCACCGTTCTAGAAACCTACACCTACATACGTGCCGAGAGTGGCGATCTCTAGAGCCGGTTCGAACTCCCGACCCACTTCCCAGATACACTCGCGCGTAATCCGATGCATCTCTAGTCTTCTGCCCGACCATTAGCTGCCCCGCTCATTGTGCTTACTCACCTCGATCTCTCGATCTTCCGTGAGACTCGTCATCTGTAATACCTGTCGCTCGGAGCCTGTGCCTGAAGACCGAGCGATCGTTTTGTAACCGTGCGTTTGATTGTCGCGTTTCACGATCTATTTGATCGCCGCGCGGTAGAATCTGCGGACTGAAAACGTACGCAGCAATTGAGCCATTCGGAAATTACAGCGACTAACTCTCTTAACCTCTTTAATGCTCACATTTTTTGTCAACTTGACGCGCAGACTAAGATCAACTTTGTCTTTTTTTATTATTTCCTGGGCGCGTGGAAATTATTTTCTGTAGCTTACCTTCTTTGGGCTATATGAAAAGCGAAAGAAAATAATTTTTAAAAAGTGCACTCGAGGGGTTGAACTGAATTTATTAAACTTTTTCGTTTAGACAGAGTTAAGCACGAAGTGCATGCTTCGATAATAAAATTGGAAGAGTTTGAAAAGTGGAGTTAGTCAGTTTGGCTTGCGAGTGGCTCAATTAACAAAGTAAGGAAATCAGTTGTTATAGATTCGATATCGAAGTAAAATCCACGCTTCTTCTTCTTTTATCGTGTTTCATTTTGTTTACTCGTAAGTATAAGCGAACATTCTTGCCACGTGTTGGTAGAATAGAAGAGTCGAGGTTTGCTTGCAAGCGTCAAGGTTCTGCCGTGTTTTAGATATTCCGAAATTGTACAGACTGTACGTGATAGTAATTACCGTCGCGTCTCTGATCGTCCTGTTATGTAGAGATTGTCTAGAATAGCTTCAGTTGTTCAGTGCACCGTGTGCGATCATCTGTTTCTGATGGGAATTTGAACGGTACAGCCGGGGGAAGAAATTTAGCGTATAGTCGGCGGAAGGAATACAGCGAAGTGGTAAATTAAAGGGCAAACAATTCGCTCGCATCGTCTGAATCTCTCGTTACGCAATTTTATATGATTCGATTCGTCGGTGTTATCGTGTCGGACAATAGTAGAATTTTTGCGATTTTGTTAGAAAAGGTGGGCCTATTCGTCGATCCTTCGGCACGTCAACTTCTCAGCTCTGCACAGTAATTTATGCGACCTTTTAGGGCCCTTATTTTCTCAAGTTTCTCTTGATTCGCTTGTCGATATACTCGAACACGTAAATAACGTCATATTTGTTCCGCTGGCTATACCGAGTTAACCCTTTGATTAATGGCCTCTCGAAGGTAAAGCGTTCGCTGTGTGCAGCGAAGAAAATTGAATTCACACAGCTTTACCTTTTACACGCGATGGATATCGTATCACGACTGAAAAATAAGTTGCTCGGCAATTAATCATTGAATAATAAACAATCTGAACGGTGCATCTTCTCTATCCATAGGTATATTAAATGCTTTAACCCTTTCGCCACGGCAGACTTTAACGCGTAGCGAGGGTGACCGACGGTGAATTGTGAACCACGGCTGCAAAATTTCTTATTTTGGCCGCATCGTTTTAAAATTCGATTTATTAAACTAAGGTGGAAGTGCGTCAAAAGTCGCCAACAGTGTAAAATGGTTCTCCTTCGTAAATGATTTTATGATGTTACTAATATCACAATATTACCTGCAACCGCTACTACATCTTTCAAAGAAATTAGTAAAACTTCAGCTAAAGTATTGGATGATTGCGAAAGTTCGTCCCCGATTTTCAAAGGTGGCGAGAACCTTCGGCACAGACGTTTCCTTTAGCGTAATGTTACATTCCTATTGTGTTTTATTTTCAAATAGTTATTCATTTCGTTCCATTTCAGTTTCGCATGAAATCTTTACTTTCAGATCGGGCACGAACTTTTCCAATCGTCCAATATATGGAGAAGAAATGGACGAACATTGCAAAATTGCAGCTTCTTTAAAAAAGATACACGATTCACAAGATTCCACAAAAGAATACCCTTGAAAAGCAATTTAAACGGCCATCCTCAAATCGTCTGTCACGAAATAAAAAGAAAAGCGCCTAAAGACGTGAATAGTACACAGCAATGAATTAGAGTTAACAGCCTCCAGGCGCCAATAATACATACAACATCGATATCAATGAAAGGGTCATAAAAACGAGTGCACTTCGCAATCTCCCATTATTTCTTCCTTCGAGTGTACATTTCGAGCGACACACGGCTCCGTAACGTCGATTAAGAAAGAAATTCGAAACAGTGGAGAGTGTTCGAGTGTCTTCATCACGGAGGATCGTTGTTCCCCGAGAATCGGAGCTCATTTATCACAAACCACTGTTGCGAGCGTTCTCCGGTCGATGGCAAATGCGTCGGAGTTTCTCGTCACGGCCAGTTTACATTGGCGTGCGCCTCGTAACTTCGTCTCTTACGTCACGTACCGTGAAGGCACGCGAATGATGAGGGGACGCGTGTCGCAAGCGGATCGTTCTCTATGATCCATTGGATCCAAGGAAACCTCTTGCCCTAGAAACTAACTGAATCGAGCTTCTCTTCTTTAGGGAAACGTCGCCGATCGAAGTCAAAACGGGACTTTCGATTTCTCCTGTTAAATCGCGATACAGCTCGCGATCGTTGAAACCTTATCACTCGAGCCGCCGTAACCTTTAACTCGGTGGATTTATTATCGCGTTACCAGCGGAGATTCGATCGTTCTTCACGATTACCACGCATTTTTCTCTCTCGCCAATTCAAGGATACGATCCCGCGATCTCTCCGTTTTTACTGACAGAGATCGATACGAAGAAACTGTCTTGTTTACCGTTCCGTCGTTTCTCAGCCCTCTGTGTTGCTTTTGGAAATCTGAAACAGTTTCGAGGGAACGAAGGGAGGAAAAGAAAACGGAAAAAATGGGTTTTTATTGACAGAGATCGATACGAAGAAACTGTCTTATTTACCGTTTCTCAGTTCTCTGTGTTGCTTTTGAAAGTTTGAAACGGTGAAACAGTTTCGAGGGATTGAAGGGAGGAAAAATAAAGCGGCAAAGATTGTTGACAAATAGGGTAATTCCGGGAGAGACGGACAAGGAAAGTATTTCGTACATTATCCGCCATATGTGGAACGCGTCGGTATTCTTTTGTTTCACGGAAAACGATCGAGCGTGGCTCTCGGTGTTTTTTCTTCCATATCTGGCGGATAATGTAGGAAATACTTGCCTGGTCCGTCTATCCCGAAATTACCCTACACGTGTGAAATTGTACGCGACAATTTCATAGAAATTATTCGAGAAGAGTTTCGTTGTCGTTAGTTGTGGAACGTGCACGGGAACGAACTCAGTTGTCCGTTGAATTAACAAGGAGAATTTGGCTGGTAGCAGAACCGATCCGAAGCGCATCGATCATTTCAGGCTGCACCATGTTGTTCCTGACCGTGACAGCGTGTCTGGTGATCGCGGTCCAGGCCGGATGCCCTATGAGACCGACCACGGAGCAAACTTCCGTTCCGAGGACCATTGGCGACGGTGGCTACAGGATTCTCGTTAGCGGGGAGTCCGACAAATATATTCCCAACGCTATTTACACGATCAGTTTGCAAGGTAACGACGTTTGCTGCGGTTTCTCTCAAAGATCGCGTTATTTCGACCGTGTACACTCGTACAATTTTCCACATTCGACCAGTGGTACTCGATGAACTTCGTTTAACACACACACACACACGCAGATAGATATACGTATACAGTTGTCGTTCAGCAAATAATGTTAATTTCAGGTTCGAGAACACACGAGAGACTGCAACAATTTACGCGTTTCACGCTGTCTGTGCACTCTCAACACTCGCCGAATAATCCTGCAAGTAGAGTAGGCTACTTTCAACTATTTCCCGATGGTCTGACCACTTTCAACGAAGACTGTGTCAACACGATTACTGAGGCTTCAGATTTCCCGAAATCCGAGGTGAAGTAGATACTGTATGCACTTAAAATGAATAATTACTGAGATATTTATAAAACAAGTAAACAAAGTAGTGTTAAGAATCACGCTGACTGAGAGTATTTCTTAATAGAAGATTATCAATTTGAAGATATCTCAGTAATTATTCATTTTAAGTTCCACTTTCTAACAATACCTTTTTACGCAGAATTTGATGCTTTATCCGAATTCGAAAAAGAATATTAGATACTCCATTTAAAAAACTGAAGGTGACTCTAATATCTCAATGAAAAGGAAAGGTAATAAAAAACAGATTAGAGCACTGTATGTCCCCTTAGATACCATGCAACTTTTGTTTGAAACATTTTTTCGTACAACGAATAACTTACGAGTTATTTGAAGTCGTCATGTTAGGAGACTCAACCTGTATGTAGGATGCTTTGTGGTAATGATAATGGACAGAATATGATAAGTGAATACAGTAATTAGTACAAATCGCAACGGTAAGGCAACTGCTATGCAACTCTATCAATTATGAAACGACACTTGCAATTTTAAGATAACTTAGACGACACTTAAAGGACTGACATAACACTTTGACGATTTTTGTAACATTCGGACTCTATGTACCACTCTGACTCTATCTGCAACACTCCATTTCCAATACTCTAACTCTATTTACAACACTCTATATTCAACACCCTGACGACTTTTACAACACTCGACTCTATCTGCAACTCTGAGTCTGTGTACAACACTTCCTCTATCTGTAACTCTGTTCTATCTAGAACACTGCATCTCCAACACTCTGACGAATCTTGCAATACTTTATATCTAACACTCTGATGACTCCTTGTAATACTCGCACTCTATCTGTAACTCTGATTTTATATACAACGCGCTGACTCTATCTGCAACACTTTGACAACTCTTACAACATCCCGACTCTATCTACATACAGCACTGCAAAAACAGTCCTATCTACAACACTCCGTACCCAACACTGTGGCGACTTTTACAACATTCCGACTCTATCTGCAGCTTTGACTCTATACACAACACTTCGTCTCTATCTGTAACTCTGCTCTATCTACAACACTGTATATCCAACACTTTGACCACTTTAACAACACTGCGACTCTATCTGCAACTTTGACTCTATGTACAACACTGCGACTCTATCTGCAACTTTGACTCTATGTACAACACTTCATCTCTATCTGTAACTCTGCTCTATCTAGAACACTTCATCTCCAACACTTTAACGACTTTCACAAAACTCTGTCTCTATCTACAACACTGTATATCCAACACTTTGACGACTTTTACAACACTGCGACACTATCTGCAACTTTGACTCTATGTACTACACCTCGTCTCTATTTGTAACTCTGCTCTATCTAGAACACTTCATCTCCAACACTCTAACGACTTTTACAATACTCTGTCTCTATTTACAACACTGTATATCCAACACTTTGACGACTTTTACAACACTGCGACTCTATCTGCAACTTTGACTCTATGTACAACACCTCGTCTCTATCTGTAACTCTGCTCTATCTAGAACACTTCATCTCCAACATTCTAACGACTTTTACAATATTCAGTCTCTATCTACAACACTGTATATCCAACACTTTGACGACTTTTACAACACTGCGACACTATCAGCAACTTAGACTCTATGTACTACACCTCGTCTCTATCTGTAACTCTGCTCTATCTAGAACACTCCATTTCCAACACTCTGACGACTCGTAAAACACTTTATATCCAACACTTTGACGACTTTTACAACACTGCGACTCTATCTGCAACTTTGACTCTATGTACAACACTTCGTCTCCCTGTAACTCTCCTCTATCTAGAACACTCAATTTCCAACACTCTGACGACTCGTAAAACACTTTATATCCAACACTTTGACGACTTTTACAACACTGCGACTCTATCTGCAACTTTGACTCTATGTACAACACTGCGACTCTATCTGCAGCTTTGACTCTATGTACAACACCTCGTCTCTATCTGTAACTCTGCTCTATCTAGAACACTTCATCTCCAACACTCTAACGACTTTTACAATACTCTGTCTCTATCTACAACACTGTATATCCAACACTTTGACGACTTTTACAACACTGCGACTCTATCTGCAACTTTGACTCTATGTACAACACCTCGTCTCTATCTGTAACTCTGCTCTATCTAGAACACTCCATTTCCAACACTCTGACGACTCGTAAAACACTCTATATCCAACACTTTGACGACTTTTACAACACTCCGACTCTATCTGCAACATTCTGACAATTGTTCCAACATCCTGACTCTATTCATTACTAACTCTATCTACAACACTGCAAGGAAAAACTCTTCTTTCGTCTTCTTTCTCTCCTACCGTACGCACACACTATTTCTTAATTTTTCCCATTAAAAGTGATCGACTCGTGAGTCACCGCTTTCTCTTTCACAACTTTCATCCTGCGCCTCTTATAAATCTCAAAAACTTCCCAAATTTTCAACCTTAAAACTACCTAAGAAGAGAGAAACATTTTCGCCATACTACGCATACGTCTCTCCCTCGTTTTTCTTAATCACTCCGGTATCTAGGTCCCGCGATAGTGATGTACACATTTCTGTGTACCGCGAAAATGCACGGAGGCGGATCGCAGATAAATTTCCGCCGGCTGGCCACCGGCCAACCCGTCCGATGGTGTTTGATTCCTCCGTGTTATCGCTGGCCAGGGCCGGCGAATTTCCGCAACGAGACAGTTAAAACGTTCTTACCTTGGCGTAGATCCAAGTGATGTGGAGGGCACCGCCGCCCGGTTCGGGATGTGTTATCTTCACCACGATGGTGTTCGAGAATAATGTACGCTGGTACGCCGAGGATGGCGGGCTAATCAAGACCTTCTGCGAGATGGGACCGGCCGAGGTCGAGACTTTAGACACCAAGTGCTGCGCCTGCGACGAGGCCAAGTACTCGGTGAGCTACACGGATGTTTGGTAAACTCGTGTCGAACGATAAACAGTAGCAGAGTGATTTAACCCCTCAACGCTTACAATTTTTCTCCAACTTGACGTGCCAAAAGTGATCAGCTTTATTTTTCTCAGAGTATAGAAATAAGTTTCTCCCTGTTTACAACGTCGTAACTTACGTTTCTGTCACAGTAGAAAGGATATGGAAATTGCATAAATTTAATTAATATTAATTCATTGACAATAGAAGTAAAATTGCATAAAACTGAGACACAGACATGAGCGTAAAGGGATTAAATGTAAAAGAAATGTTGTGCTGTAGAGATCGTGAGTGAATGTTTAAATTTCAGCTTCTCCATTTTTTGCTTCTTTCACGTGTACGTTGCAGCTAACGATGGAGGGAATCTGGTCGAACGTGACCCATCCGAAGGACTTTCCGTTCTCCCTCTGGTTGACCCACTTCAGCGACGTGATTGGCGCGTCTCACGTGCCCACCTTCTCCTTCTGGGGCAAGGACCATATCGCCACTGATGGCTTCCGGCAATTGGCCGAATGGGGCTCCGCGTCTGGAGTCGAAGCCGAGCTCAGGGCTAATTCCAATCAGTTGAGGACTCTCGTCAAGGCTGCCGGCCTTTGGTATCCCAATGTAAACAGCAACACGAGCACTAGCTTCAGGTAGCCAGTTACACACCTGTATCTTCTATCTGCAATTCGATACCGATTATCCGAAATACTCGATTAACCGGCACATTCGCTCCGATTGTTCTTCGGCAACCGTCGCCGATCATGTTTCGCGCGAACAAACGAAGGCCTCTTTGAAGGCACACAGGAAGGAGGAAATAGAAATTAAATTTTGACACGTTCAGTGCCAGGTCAGATTTATGTACGACTCCCACTAATATTCGGACACCGAACCTGTCGACTTGAGTTTTTTCGAGAAATTAGAAGGACTAGTGTACTAGATGCCGTGTTCAAGAAATTTGGTAAAAAGTACAATTTGTAGGAATCGCGAAGAAAATTGTAAAGGTCGCTGTTTACAACTTTTTGTACCTGAGTTTGTAACGAAAATTTGAAACTTACGTTTTGTAGATCTATGCCAGTTATACATATTATGCTGAAAATTTCATCAAAAATCACAAAATCTAAATTTCATTTTTTCGCCGTTTCCCTGACTTTTGTTAATACGCCGCACTCCAGTCTCGGTTGCCAATCGAAACATTGTCGTTGACACAAGGAATTATCGATATCAAACATGTTCCGTCGCGCAGGTACGAAACACGCGGGGTCTTCGTTGACCGGGTTTATGACACGCTCGCACCAGAAGGTTATTTTTGAGAACAAAAACGCTTCGCAGCTACGCGAAAATATAAGTAATTTCTTGCAAACAATGGCTTTAAAGTTTCTATCTTTCGGCGTCCTCAATAGCCGAAGAAGTGTCATAAACCAGGGTTCCTGAAGGGTCAATCCACAGGGTTGACCTGGCGGGAATTTCTGACGCGTCACCGAAGGACAGCGAAGATTCCACGCACACTCCTTCCAAAGAAAAGCGCGCTAAGGGCGCAATGGAAGGGTGGGTGACACTCGAGGGGCACGTTGATTGGTAATTTGTACTTTCGTGAAAAACCAATCAGCGTGCCTTCTTACACTTGGCGGAGGAGTCACGGCGGACTCCAGAAAAATTCGGGGATCGGCAACGACATTCGCAAAGATTCTCTCGAGCGAACGACATATACTCTTCAGCCTTCCGAGGAGACACATAACGTACCTTTCGAGTCGCGATCGACCACTCGAGTCATTTTGAAACAGAGTCATCAATCGTTCGTGACGCACTCCACGTTTTCCTAACGTTCCGAGCAAACTAAAATTTGAATTAATTACCCAAGATTGACTTGGTGGGCAACAGTCGCGAGTTTTGAACATTCACAGAAGAACGCGACGCGACAAAACATTTGACGAAGAAAGTGGAGGAATTCGTGTATCGTGTACGTAGCATCGTAACTTGCATCCATAGTCGTTTTCTAAATTATTTCCTTCGTTATTGTCACTTCATAGGTGTAGTCCAATTATCCGGCATATTTGATTACGTCCGTAGCATCGCCTCTGTCCCGAGTATTTCGGATAATCGGAGCTCTACCGTAGCCTCCTTGGTACGCTAAGTTTTCTGCGATAAAATTCAGAAACAGAAGGGAGACGAGTGTTTTATTTTTTCGTTCAGAGTGGACAAGAATCATCCTATGCTCTCGGTAGCTTCGATGTTAGGACCATCTCCAGACTGGGTGGTAGGTGTGAGCAAGTTGAACCTCTGCAGAAAAGACTGCACCTGGACAAAGAGCGAGATAATCGATTTGTACCCGTGGGATGCTGGTACGGACAATGGGATCACCTACATGTCGCCGAATTCGGAGACTAAGCCACGAGAGAAGATGAAGCCAATCACCACTTTGTACCCTGAAGATCCTAGAGCGCCGTTTTACGATCCATCCGGAAGACCTATGTTACCACTTGCCAGGTTGTACTTGAACAGGGAGAAGACTATTCCGCGAGGGTGCGACGAGGAGATCCTTCAGCAGCAAGTGTCGCAGCTAGAGGTGGCTGAGAACACCGAGGACACTTCCAGACGTATGAAACTTTCGATATTTCTGCTGTAGTCCGAGTTAGACGATGTAGCGTGGTCGTGAATACGTCGAAAATGGACCTGAAATCTAATTTTTAGTTCTGTGTCGATGGATTTAACCTTAGTCCGGTGTTCGGGTCTTTTTTGACCCATCGCCTTCTTATTTTTTCCGTAATTTTTCGTGTTATCAAGTTTAGGTTCCCTTGGGTCTTTTTTCACCCAAAGACCTGAACACTAATCGTACAGGGACTTTATGTATACCTATTTGTTACCGTAGCCGGTGAATTGACCGGTTGTGAAATAAAGATGATATTTTTCTGAAAGGAATACAGGTGATTGTTAATTTAACACTGACGTCCGCAGATTTCGCTGAAAACCTCGTCGCTGCCGCCGGCGACTCTCGCCTCTAAATCGCCCCTAGAAGATCGTACCGCCGGCATTTTTCGCTCAGTCTTTTAGAGTGTAATTACGAAACATTTTGTGGGGAAAATACGTGGAATATGAATTATTTATATTACGTTTTATAGCCAAAAAGATGAAGTCATGTCAGCGTGACGCCGACCGAAAATCGCTCGCCCGGCGAAATCACGTATACGGGACAGCGGACGTCAAAGTGTTGATATAAGAAACAACGCAGAAAATTTAAAAAAATTACATATCAAATTGGTACTGTGGGGTTTTTTGTATGAAAGAGTGAATGTGAGAGAGCTGGTGTGAATGGCCTGGGCAGGAAGAACGAACGAAAGACGATCGTGCGTGGCGCATTTGTTAATGTTTAGACAATAACATGGGTTAGTGTGTGTGTGATGCGTGTGTTGGAGAAAAAGGAGAAGAGTGTAAGTGGTGTGTGTTTGACCAGCGAACGAGAAGCATCGAACCGTAATTATTAAGGGAGCGAATTACATCTTCTGTGACAGATAATATTAGTGAACAACACCGGCGACGCTTGGGGTACTTTTAATTTAACATACGTAAAAAGTAATTAACAAAATCCCACAGTACGGTTAGTGTTAAGTGCATAGTCGAACGGAAAAACGCACTAGGGTCAAACAATACAGATACAGAAAGAAACTCCTAATATTAAATACTGGAATATTTGAAATAGCAAATGAAATACTGCGGGTCAAGTCGTCGTTCTTTCTTTACGCAGAAACCTAAAACAAAACACAGCGCATAGCCTTAGATGCATCATCATCAACCACTACCGCATTTTGAGAGTACATTTTACGACCTACATCGTGGCCCAGACTGTATTCAATAATTCCACCAAAGATATTTCTTTGAATCGACGTAATTTTCATTTTATCTTGCAGCCGAATGTCAGACGACAGAATACACACCGTGGTCAACATGCTCGGTATCTTGCGGCAAGGGTCTGCGGATGAGAACGAGATCCTACCTGATGCCAGAGAAAGCGGCGATGTTGAAGTGCAATAGGCAATTGGTTTCCAAGGAGATGTGTGTCGCATCCATACCAGAGTGCTCGTAAGTACTTGGAAAGTATCGTTATTTTCCATACAAACTCTCCGCTCCCTCTCTTCGACTCCCTTATCGTCGACTAAAGGATTACACTTGCGAATCTCGCTTCAGGGGCGAGGAAGATACCGACGATAGTTTGCCCGTCTTAAACAACCCCTTTTGCGAAACCACCGAATGGGGTAGCTGGTCCGAATGCTCGTCGACGTGCGGTCCAGGCTTGAAAATGAGGACCAGACGGTTCAAGGATCGTATGGGCCGTAAACGATGTCCTAACGTGTCTCTCTTCGAGAAGGTGAAATGCATGGAAGCGGCCTGTGCGCCTGGCCTCGAGGAACAGATCGATCCTGCGTGCAAGGTATCTGTTTCTTTTGAGTGTCGCTTCTGCAATGCGAAATTTTTCTTTTTTACTATCCTCGTTTGCTTGCCGTCTGTTTGGAAATAATAAGGAACAAGTGATTCAGCTGTAATAGCACGATATTCTGTCGGTGGTAACTTGAAACTTTGAATCGTTTGACTGGTTCACTCCTGGAAAATTGAAACAGAATAAGAAATATACACTACCTGGCAAAAGCTTCGAATCACCTGTCAATTTACATCGACATTCAATTCGTTATAGATTGGAAATTGATGTCGTGGGGATCACATAGCAATTCACCTGATTTGGAAAAAGAAATTTGTTAAAATTGTTAACTTTTCCTGGAAATTTCTGTGTAACTTGCAACGCACAGCGATACTAAGCCTGAATATCGTAATAGAATATAATAAATTCAATGTCTTTGTATTCTAATTTTCTCGCGCTCTGAACTCGAACGACAAGTACCAACTGATCGTTACTGCACCCGCACATTCTATCTCTATCTATTTCTCTACCCCTTACACTTGATGCAGACATTATAAACAGAGATACTAGCTCCGTACTCCTATCACGACTTTTCGAATTTACGTAGGGTGAACACCTGAGCTGGAAAGCTCGGAAGATGTTTCAAAGAGTAAGGTGAAGAAGGTTAATCGATAAGGAGTGTGCTAAGATGGATTTTCATGATCGAGACTGAAGAGGTGTAATTTAATGGAAAATATTTGAAGTTACCATCGTTAATTATAGTATTATTTTATGCATGTCTGCACTATTACCACACTGACTCTCATTAACAACTCTGACTCTTTTTCACACTCGCTTTTCCACTCTGACTCGACTCTCTTTTTAACGCATCATCCACTCTCTTTTGTTTTCGCATCGTTTTCCCCTTTCTCTGTCTACCCTGCATCTGTTTCTCCTCTTCCTTTCGGTCTCTTTTTCTGTCTCTCCCTCTCTTTTTATGTCCCTCCACTCTCTCTGTCATTCCTCTCTCTGTTTCTCCTCTGCCTTTCTGTCTCTCCCTCTCTTTTTTGGTCTCTCCTCTCTCTATTTCTCCTCTCTTCTGTCACTCCCTCTCTGTTTTCCTTCCTGGCTCTCCTCTGTGTCTTCCTTTCTGTCTTCCTCTCTCACACTCTCTCAGGCACTCTCAGAAAAGAAATCCCCGAGTGACTATGAACCCTTCGTTCACACCATAATCTCAAGCACCCAGTTCCAAACACTCTTCTTTCGCACTTTAATCTTCCCACCTCAAGTACCCTTCATTCGCGAAACTATCGTTCCAAAGAAAATAAAAGCATCCGTGAAAAAACTCCATCCATCCTACACTACTTCATACGTAGCTCTCGAAAATCGTTCCAGGCAACTGATTGGTCTGATTGGTCACCGTGCAGTGCTTCCTGCGGCAAAGGAGTGAAGTTGAGGACCAGGTTGTTGATGGTCGATCCGTCACAGCAACAGGAGTGCTCCTCGAAAATGGAATTGCTCCAGCAACGTCCTTGTTTGGAACAGGCTGACTGTACATTCGACATGGCCACTGCTAAAGGTACAATTTTCAAACATTTTTTGAAAAAAAAACAGTCACACGCTAAACAGTTTACCGTTACATTCGTCGTTACAGTGGTTTGTATGGAGGAAGCAGATCCCGGACCTTGCAGAGGATACTTCCAGAGATGGGCGTTCGTTCCTCAGAAGTTAATGTGCGTTCCATTCGGTTACGGTGGTTGTCGCGGCAACAGGAACAACTTCCTCACGGCTGAAGAATGCAACAGCACTTGCGGTATCGTGAGTACAGCGTTTACTTTAGATTCTAATAGAAAGTTGGAGACGATTTTGTTGTAACTTCAGGTTAGAGAACTTCTCACTGGAAAACCTTCGAATCGAACAATCACACAGACACCCACAGCACGCGTTGATTGCATCGTCAGTGATTGGTCACCTTGGTCACCGTGCAGCGTTTCGTGCGGAATTGGTCGCGTTTCCAGTTATCGTTCTGTCATCGTGAGTTCAATCCACTTTCAACGAATCTTTTATTACAACGATATTGATTTTATTATCGAGGCTTTCCGGTGTAAAACGCGTCCTTATGGGAAAAGTATTCTTACGTTTCGAAACACAGAGATGATCACTATTAGACCGCGGATTTTCATGCATTTCCAGGAAATTTAAAGGGCATGTACGGTGCTCGACTCGTTTTCAGCTCGAACTCGGCTAGTATCGTTGCGCTCCCGACGTGTTAATCCCGGAAGGGCGAAATTCTAGTAGTTGGTGTGGTGATGGATTCATCAGGCAAAGGTTTATGGCACGATCGCACCTACAGGCTGTTTTTGAGATTAGGATTTAATTTACTATTTTATGCTTTAACGTCCATCCTAGCGAAGGCCGGTAGAATCACTTAATTAGAGTTTTTTGCCGCTTGTGCCTTTCGCGCTCAATAGCTTAAGAACATGCCATAAACCACGGGTTTTCCGAAGGGTACAATTGTCTGTAACGGTCCGCTGGCCGATGAGTCACCCGGAGGAATTTCCCGAATTATTATAAACATTTGGTTGCCCTTTGGGATCTTCTCCCACTCCACCAGGGTAAAGCACGCTAAGGGCGCACTGGAAGGAGTTGGCGAGAAAATTAGGCACGTTGATTGGCGATGAATACTAGAAAATATTCACCAATCAGCGTATTTTTCAAGAACCACCGCTCTCGAGGGCGAAGACGAGCTCTCGAGAAGTCAGAATCATTACAACCATCAGAGCAGAAACATCTATCAGTCAAACTAGTCACTTAGTTTTTACATACAATAAAAATTACACAAAGTTAGAAAGGCAACACGCATTTGTCCATTTTTAAACAGTCGGCTCAGTGCGACAGCACACACGGGCTACATTAATACAAATCAACAATGGCGAATAAGAGGCTTCTCTTCGTAAGAATATTTTTGAACTCGTTTATTTGTGGTGGTGCGTGGGTATATATTAGGTCGGTGTATGTTGTGATTGGTTGGACGTTGAAGGTGGTGGAAAAGGAGGACTCGAAAAATGCTGAGGTGTGATTGGATATTAGGAAACTAGTGGAAGGAGAACGTGAGGGTGAAGGTGGTGTGCAAAAGTTGAAATAATTTGGGGAAAACCCGGAAAGGGGAAATGGATAGGGAACATGACCAGGGAAGGAATTTGTTAGGGACTAGGAAGACGGCTGGGAAGGACTGTTTGTTAATTTATGATGTGTTAGTGGCCGGTGGGCTGCGCGACCGGACAGGGCAAGATTGCACAAAATGCACGTAACACGAAAAAATCTCAAAATTATAGTGCTTCTTATAACACCTCACAGGTGAAATAATTTTCTACCCAAGTTCTACTTTCTTTTTCTGTATTTGTTTATCTATTTTTCCGGGATATTCTGAAAAATATAAATTCGCACAAAAATCCACAATCTAATCATCAATATCACGATAATCATTATCGCTGCGTTTCGCAACTCCGATAAAATTAAGCCTCACTGAACGAAAGCCCCGATAATAATTACACTCGAAACGGCAAAACTCTGACATCCTCGATATCGATTTCGTATCCTCAGCAAGAGCCACAAAACAGAGGACATCCCTGTCCCAAGAAGCTCCAGCGACGTTCCAGGTGCCAGATGGCGCCTTGCATGTAACGCCTTAAAGAAATTCAACGTTTTTATTAATAAATCTGACGCAACGAATAGAGAAGACGAGGAACACGCTTAAAAACGAAGCAGAGAAGGTATCTCGTTATCTTTATACAAAGTATTCTACCAAGGAAACACCAGTTTCCCCTTAACTTTTCTACGAAATGATGGGTATGAAATAAACCGATGTATCAGAATAAATGGTATTTTATTAATGGTCATTCGTGATCTTCCTACTCTCGGTCGAGTTGCTCGAATACGCTGGGCTACGAATCGCAAACGAACGTGATCGAAAAACTGGAAAACGGCTCCTCGATGAACCTATATACATACATTTTTCTCTTCCTTTTTGCTCGTGGTTTAACAAACTGCGCGAAAAAATGCGTTCTCGCTAAACGAAATAAATTCGACGGCTTGCGGGGGTAAAACTGACGCGTTCTGAAACAAGCGTAGAATCTCTTTCCAATATTAAGTACATAAATGTATATAACGTTAACTCTTTCTCTCGAATAATAATTGCATTCTTCGTCAAACATCTTTCTCTAATGTTTAACCAGTCAGCTGTCGCGACCTCTGGAGTACCTAAAATGTGTCGCCAAAAGTAAGCGACGACGAGTAATACACCTATCCCCCGATTTACACGATTTCACTTTTACACGGTTTTCAGAATAACGGCTTTTCAGATATATAAACTGTTAAAAATAAAAGTTGTACAATCATTTTTTAATACCGTTCGTTTGTTAACACTGGCATTAAACTAAAAAAATGAACGGAATTTCACCTATCCCCCGATTTACACGATTTCACTTTTACACGGTTTTCAGAATAACGGCTTTTCAGACATATAAACTGTTAAAAATAAAAGTTGTACAGTCATTTTTTAGTACCGTTCGTTTGTTAACACTGGCATTAAACTAAAAAAATGAACGGAATTTCCCCCTTTTCTTCATCGATCGCTCGCTCGAAACTAAACCCTGACCCTGAATATTTTTTGTTTTTCATTTTTATTTCATTTTTATTTTACATTTCAAATAATGAATTTAGTTCAATCACCGACTAAATTACGCGCATTTTCTTTTTTCCCCGATTTACACGGTTTTTCATACAAAAAGCCATGATTTCGATTTACACGGTATTTTGAGGAACCGATCATCCGTGTAAATCGGGGAACAGGTGTATTTCTGAAAAGCCGTTATTTTGAAAACCGTGTAAATCGTAACGAAACGACTGTTTTACTCCTTGGTGTGAATGTCCTGAGGTGATGAATGTGTGATTCGATTTACACGGTATTCTGAGGAACCGATCATCCGTGTAAATCGGGGGACAGGTGTATTTCTGAAAAGCCGTTATTTTGAAAACCGTGTAAATCGGGGGATAGGTGTACTCGTCAAACACAGAGTATGTGCGGCTGTTGTAACGAAACGACTGTTTTACTCCTTGGTGTGAATGTCCTGAGGTGATGAATGTGTGAAAAAAACAAAAAAGAAGTAAAAAGCAGAGTGGCAGTAGCAGTAGTTGTTAACACGTTCCGTGCCGGACCGATTTTCGGTGACTTTCCGTTCACGCCGCGTGGGTATCGAGACTAACAGTTTTGCTTTCCACCCTATGTGTCTTCCAATATTTATAAGATCGCAAAAGTCATTGTTATCGAGAAAAAGGTAACGTTTAAGATACGCTACAGAGCAAAGGAAAAATTGTTCTTTTAACAAATTATCGCCGTAGTTGCACAGTTTAAGTCAGCGGAAGGAAAAGACCGAAGTATCAAATGGCCTTGCAAGAGTTGTATGAATGGACGCGTGGACGGTCCTGGTTTATCTACGTCGAAGCGAAGAAGTCCAGGCTCCCGAGCCTGCCGTAAGCCGGGGCCCAGTCGCAACATTTGGCGCACTCACGTCGCGACAAGTGTCAGGTAAGGACCCGGCCACGCGACAAGTAGAGGAGCGCCGTAGAGAAAAAGACGCGGAAGAATGTTTCGAGGCAGAAAGTGTTGCAGAAAGCATTACGGAGAGCACCGTGGAGGGTAGAGTATTACGAGTCACACGAACGAACAGGCATACGACCGACCAATATACTAGGGTGGATTGAAAAGTTCACGGCTACTTGTAATTTTTACCGAATAATAGGGGGAGTTCCCCTAGCACCGGACGCTTAAGGTTTCTCTTAAATAAATCTCTCTACCTGTGCACACGCGAGTGAAACGCGTAGAAAACTTATTTTTACTCCTTTTGTCTCCTCTAGGAGATACGCGGAATAACGGCTCGGTAGCGTTTCAATTATTGCAGGTATAACTAATGTCGGATATTAGGTGCCGTCCGGCGTTAAGGGAACTCCCCCTATGTAATTAATTGTGTACTAATGTATACAGTTTCGTGTCTCTGTCGTCATTTTTCTCCCTTTTAGAACTAGTGAAGTAGAGCGATTCGCAGTAGATGGAGTAGAGATGGACAAATTTAGAAAACGAGCAGCGAACCAATACCTGAAGATAAAGGACCTCGCTTCAAAGATCATTCAAGGACCTTGCAAAAATTATTCGAAATTCTTGCGAAAATCATTCAAGGTCCTTGCGGCGATGTCCTTTGTCACCAGGTACTGGATC